GAGTGTGTGTGTGTGTGTTGTGTGTGTGAGTGTGTGTGTGTGTGCGTGTGCGTGTGGGCACTCGCACATGTGTATCCTGAAGGGAGTCAGGGCAGGAACTCAAGGAGGGAACCTGGAATGCGAACTGAAGCAGAGGCCATGGAGGGACTCTGCTTACAGGCTTGCCCCCATGCCTTGTTCAGTCTGCTTTCTTGTCCAGCCCAGGCCCGTGCCCCATGGCTGGTGCTGCCCGCAGTGGGCTCTCCCTCCCACATCATAGTTTTGCCTATAGGCCAATCAGGGAGGCAATTTCTCATCCGGAAAGGTCCCTCTTCCCGGATGACTCTAGCTTGTGCCAGGTTGGCAAACAACCCACACATGGCACCCCAGCTTGTACAGCAGAGTCGTATTTATTTGTGATTCTTTTTCAAAAAGCTTTTGATATGAGACCATCAGGGATTGTCATCCCATGTCCAAGTTCAGTCCAGTGCCTCCTGCCCACTCTGGCGTCCCTGAGGTGGGTAGTCTTTCTGCAGCCACACTTAGTTATTCTGCTTTGAAAACTCAGATCAGACTAGTATTGATACATAGTAGTCACCTGACCTCCCATAACTGACTCAGTTTGGAATCTACCTGACCTACTAGTTGCTTAGCAACAGGCGCTTCAGTCCCCACACGCTGTCTTGGAGTACCCATCCCAGTGATGCTCTTGGAGTACCCATCCCAGTGATGCTCACCTTGGGCCTCTCTTTCTACAGACAGCGTCATTCAGAAAACAAAGTGGCGTTTTAACCACATGAGCTCCTCCCAGATGAAGAGTGGCTTAGAAAAGATCCAGGAGGAGCTGGAGCTCCAGCCTCCAGCAATGCTGTCCATAGAGGGCACAGATGTGGCAAATGGCATGCTGAATGGCCACACCCCAGTGCACTCCGAGCCCGGTGAGTGCCAGCTGGTGAAGATGGAGGGATGCATGTCCAGGAGAAATGTTTCCCCCACTGGATAGATGGGCTGGTTTGGTGGTGGCAAAGCAAATAAGTTGGGAAGAGTATAGATGGACCCTCTTTCCACACGGTTGTCATCAAAACAAAACAAAAGCCTTTCTGTTGGGATAGTGCCTGGTTCTAGGAAGTAATCTGATGACATTCCGGGGTTTCCAGCCTGACTTGGCACGTTGTTCATCAAGGTGAGGTTCACAGGTTCACATGTTACGGGAATTACTGTGCCGGAAGCTCCTGGTTGGACTGTACGGCTTACCACATTAATGAGACACTGGAAGCCTGCACTGGGAAGCCCCAGTTGGGGCTTGTTGGACAAGGGCAGTAGGGAAAGTGTCTATGGGCCATCTAAAAATTCTGCAGTGGGGGCCAGTGGGATGGCTCTGTGTGTAAAGGCGTGCTCCTACGCCTGAGGACCTGGGTTTGATCTCTGAAGACCACATGGTAGGAAACTCCCTTTGGTTTGGGCTCTGACCTCTGCACACATGTCCTGGCACATTCCCTGGAAGAGCTGTCTACATGGTAACAATCTAATTTTTAAAACCTCTGTACTAAACCCCTGGCTTGAAATTTAAGTGGCTTGATGTGTTTAAACCAATGAATTCCCAGGTTGGCTCAGCTGCCAGTCAGCAAGCCGTTGTGATATACATTGGGAGGATTTGAAGAAGGAGGCTGGGTAATTGAGTCCAAGCTCCTCCCTTGCTGTGCGTGAACACAGGGACCCCTTTGTAATGTTTGTTTTGTTTTGTTGTTGTTTTTTAAACACTTAGAAAAGAGGAGCAAATCCCCAAAGCGCCAAGGTACCCCACATGCCTAGGGCGTTTCACTGCCTCACCTAATTGCCCCAAGGCTAGAGTCCTCACAGGTAGCATGTTCTTTTCTAACGGAAACTGGAATTGCTCTGTGGTAACTAACACACACTAACATTAGCGTTAGCTGGGCTGTGGCTCACACGGCATATGCGTGTGCATGCGTGTTACACGTGGGAAACGTCAGGACCAGAAAGGATACTCCAGGAAGGAGCATGACAGGAGAACGGGCTGGCCAGCATCTGTGAGCCAGAACCCGTTTTAATGGTGACCTGCTGGAGAGAGCAAGTCTGTGTTCCCGTTATCGTCCTGGCTACGATTGTAGCCTGACAGTCAGACTGTTGTAGACTGAGTACCTCCTCTTCCTGGGTATTTTAGAGTTTGAGAACTTATCTGCTGTGAATTTCTCTGGGTGCCCATGTGACATTGCACCTTGTCCTGACTGGAAAGAGTGGAACAGTTTACAAACTGAAGACTGAGGTGCTGGTGTCAATGCTCCTAGCGTCGGGACAGTCCCTGCTCATAGCCTCTCAGCCTGACCTGTTGGCATGCAGTGCCAGGTGACCCTGCATTGGAACATCCCATATCCTGCAGGTTGCTTAGCAGTGTCACTGGCTCTTGCCTCTCCTGGTGACAATTACAGGTGTCTCTGGACACCCCTCTGGGAGCAAGTCACCCCTGGGTAAAATAAAAAGGCAACTGAGCACCAACAGATTTGTGTTTGCCGTGAAAAGGGCCTTTTTCCTGGAAGTTCACCTCCGTTTCTGAGATCCATTCTGGCGTCCATTTCTGGCTGGCCCTGCTAACTCCTGTTGCTTTTTAGATGTGTGCTTGGGGTTCTGTGTTTATCGTCGTTCGTCTGTTAGCACAGGTCTAGTTGGTATTCTGGCCCCTTCCGTCACAGAGACACAATTCTCACAAGACACTCTTTTCTTTTCATCCTGAAGCTCCGAATCTCAGGATGGAGCCGGTGACAGCACTGGGTGTCCTCTCCCTTGTCCTCAACATCCTGTGCGCTGCCCTGAACCTTGTCCGTGGAGTCCACCTGGCAGAACACTCTTTACAGGTGACCCTCTGTACAGATTTTTTTTCTGGTGGTTGTGGGGATTGAACCCAGGACTTTATGAATGCCTCAGCATGCGCCTTTTACCCTGGAGCTGCGTCCCCAACCGGTCTTTACAGTCCAAAAGGAAAGACAAGTGACAGAAACTGATGATGGGACAGTTTTTATCAGGTCGATATGAGGTTAGGATTTTGTTGGTTAGTTTCTTGTTTTTTTTGTTTGTTTGTTTTGTTTTTTGTTTTGTTTTTGGCTTTTCAAGAGAGAGTTTCTTTGTGTAACAGCCCTGGCTGTTTTGGAACTCCATCTGTGGACCCCTCTGACCTTGAACTCACAGAGATCCGCCTGCCTCTGCATCACAAGTGCTGGGGTCAAAGGTGTGTACCACTACCACCACCTGGCACAGCTAGGTTTTATGAATGTTAAAAATTCAAATAGAACATTTTAGAAATTATAATCCATAAGCTGGATATGGTGATGCACCTCAGTAACCCCAGCCCTGGAGAGGTGGAGGCAGGGGGATCAGAGGTTCACACCCCAGATCAGCTGCATAAGAGCTCTGGGCCACCTTAGGGGAGAGTATAAAATGAAAGAATCTTCAAAACAAAAATCTGCTCTTTGTAGTAAGCTGAACACATCTGGAAAGATCCCTTTGTGACTGCCCTTGGGAGTTCTGGGATGTTGCTGGGAAGTAGGCAGCTTGCTGCAAGGACTTTGGGCTGCCGCTGTGCCCTTAGGAACCAAGGATCCATTGTCAACAGGACACAGGTTGGATTCTCACACTGTCAGGCTCTAAGAAAAGATGTTCCCACTGTGTGATGTGTGGCCCATAGGCACCTCTTCTCTTGCCAGAGACCCACATCCCCAGGGACAAAGCCAGCGTTCCGTTTCTTGGCCACCGATGGTGAAGCAACATTCTGTCTCTATGCTTTCTTCAAATATTCGATTCCAAGCAATAGAACTGTTATTAGCATAAGCAGGTAGTTGTTATTTTCAAGGATAGATCCATGAGTTTTTATAGATTTTTTTTTGTGTCACATTGCTTTGTTTGAACCCTTTTTGATCTTACTGGGCCTTTTGATTATATAGTATGGTTTCTGATTTTGTGTTTCTATGGATTTGGGGTTATTGTGTTTGCTGTACTTTTTCTTTTATTATTATTATTATTGCCTTTTTTAACAAGAGAAGAAAAGCGTGGAGTTGGTTCAGTGGGGAGTTCAGGGGGACCTGGGAGGGAGTGCAGGAGAGGAGGGGAAACCGTGACCATATGGATCACATGAACTGTCAATAACAAAGCAAAGCCGTCCTTCTCACTGCAGTGTTAGGTGTTGGCTAGAGACTAAATGGTGGTGGTTTGTGGGTGCTGAACCCAGGAGGGTGATGTGGACTGACCCCTTTGAGGAGTGGCCTCAGGCTCCTGTTAGAGCGGTACCTGTGAAAACCCTTAGGCCGGTGACCACATCTCATCTTCTAACAGTGTGTGGTGTGGATCAGGTACCTGCTGGCTATTTGTGGTAGAATCGGTGCCTGGCTGGCAAAGTGGCTAAGATAGGTCCTGCCGAGGGGTTCTGATGGCATTGTGCAGGGACAGCACTGAGGAGGTGATGGTTCCCGGGGCAGGAGTTTCTAGAAGAAGCTTAGCATTAACAGATGAGAAGGGTTCTTGGGGGTGAAGGAAAATTGCATGTTGAGGACGTAGCATGGAGGCCTGGGACAGAAGTACACACGGTCTATCTAACCATTGAAAATGGTCACATGCCAACCCTGGGTCTGGCTAGGCATCCTTGTACTGTCAGTCACACCGGTGACACAGGATAACAGACTCTGTGCCACCATGATTCCTTTCAGCCAAACCTTTCTTCTATGTACCCCTGTCTGTTTCAGGTTGCCCAGGAAGAAGTTGGGAACATCCTGGCCTTCTTTATTCCTTCTGTGGCCTGCATTGTCCAGGTGGGTGCAGCCCCTGACTGGCTGCTTGTGGGGACTGCAGGCAGGTGCCTGAGGGAATAGTGGCACCCAGCGTGGCTGTGACTCGGGAGAAATCACAGTAGGATTGGGAGGGCCTTTCTGCCTGATCTGCCCCTTATACTGCATCTCTCTCTTCTCTGCATCCCCAGTCTGGACGTCTGCTTGTGTGTCTCTAACACCCTTCCTCCGGTGACACCTGTTTCATTCTCTTAGAATCCGGTGATTACCAGCTGCTGGTCCCAGCTTTGCTGTAGCGAGTTCAGTTAGTAGGTGAATGCATACAGGTGTCAGTTAGTAAGTGAATGCATACAGGTGTCAGTTAACAGGTGAATGCATACAGGTGTCAGTTAGTAGGTAAATGCATACAGGTGTCAGTTAGTGGGTGAATGCATACAGGTGTTAGTTAGTAGGTGAATGCATACAGGTGTCAGTTAGTGGATGAATGCATACAGGTGTCAGCAGGTGAATGCATACAGGTGTCACTTAGTAGGTGCATGCATGCAGCTGTTGTGGCTGCATGTGACTTGAGGCTGTCTGCCGCCTTCTGACTAGATGCCTTGTGGTCTCATTTCAGTGTTATCTGTACCTGTTCTATAGTCCAGCCAGGACTCTGAAGGTGGTGCTGACTCTGGCCTTCATCTCCCTGGGCAACATGTACCTGCACGGGCTGAGGAACACCTGGCAAGTCCTCTTTCACATAGGAGTGGCTTCTCTGTCCTCGTATCAGATCCTGACCAGACAGCTGCAGGAGAGGCAGTCCGACTATGGAGTGTGAGGACAGCATCACGCAGCGAACGGAGCCTTTGAATTCCCCTCCCCCTCAGAAGGCCAGTCTGTCTCCACTCCTGCTTCTCAACTTCACCTCAAATCTCCATCCTTGAAGCTCCTGAGGTCACAGATCCTGGCAGGTGCAACGGAGGACCCAGGGCTGCGGGTTGCAGTCGAGGTCTGTGTGAAGTGTTTGTGCAGAACTGCCGACCAGGCACAGGGCAGGGCAGTGAAAGCTGGAGCTTGCTCAGAGAGCATCTCTGATGGTCAGAGTGGCAACGCTTTGGCCTCCTAAATCGAATGATACTGCAAACCACTAGGTCCCGTCATGGTAGTTTTGGTCCTTGGCAGGAGTCTTCAAGGAAACTCTTTACAGTTTAAATTATTTGCAGTTTCAGTGTAACTCTGGTCAGTTTTCCTTGGAGTGTCAGTTCAGGGTAAATTAAAAGCTTGAAAATATGGTTCATAAATATAAGCTAGGTAAATTTTGTTTACATTTTTGATAACTTGGATTCCATATACCTTTGGGATATTTAAATATATTTTGGATAAAAATTGAAGCTCATTTAGAATGAAGGCAAACGTATGCTGAGGAGATGCCAAGGAAATCCAAGTTTATTTAGTTGACAGAGACCCTTCATGGTGGCTGGACTGTGGATACTGATGTGGTTTACATCTGTTTGCAGGGTCTATCTGAGGATCTCTAAATTAATAACCGATATCACTGGGTCATAAGCACACGTGAGAGCTCCAGGGTCCTTTCCAGGGGCAGAAAGGAGTGGGAAATGCTGAGGTTCAGAGTTCCCTGGCAGAACTGGGGAGCTGTGTGTGACAGCTGAGTGCCTGTCACAGTAGCACTGCTGGAGATGCTGTGACCCTGCGTTCCTCCTAGAGAGGCCCCCTTCCAGCATCTTGATCAGACCTAGGGCCTCGTTGTTTTTCGCACAGGAGGTGAGTGTCAGCTTTGAGTAACTGATCCGTGCTGCCAAGTTAAGGTGTGCTTCTGAATAAGAGCCCCCAGCATTTCCAGTGTGGCTGTCTCGTGGCACTCAAGAAGCCATGTTGGGGTTCACCCCTTTGCCTTGTTCTTGGAATAGCCCACCCACAACTGTGTGGGTTGACCCATCAGTGATCCCCGAAGTTCCCGAGCAGTGGGGAAGGCAAGAGTGTAGGGTTAGAGAGTTCTTTTGTTTGGCTGTCACTGGTACTACATGCAGGTGAGCCACCAGGTGTCATTTTAGGAGAGTGTTTCTGTGAGTATTGCCATCGTGGTTTTGTTTCTCCCAGAGGAGATTTTTCTACCTTTAATTGAGCCTAATCATGTCTGGGTATGAATGTCATATTGGCAACGTCCTTGGGCGTGAACTTCCGACTTGTGTGTCTGTTGATCTTACTCCTGTGTAATTGTGTATACGCTGTGCAGGCGGATGCTCACTCTTCCTGGGAGAGGATTTGAAGTGGCCAAAGAGGAAGCCAGAGAGGGAGGAGGGAATTCTTTTCATTCAAAGCACACACTTAAAAAGATCTTTAACTAAGTTAAAAAAAAATCAGCCTAAAAAGTGTATTGTCTTCCTCTTAAGCCTGTGTGGTATTGTGTTGCCCTGTGTCTGGAGATGCCTCACACTGGAGGGTCTCAGCCTGTGTGTCAGTCCACAAGCGGTAACAAAGCGGTCCCCGAGGATGAGCCCTTGATAGAGACACTTCATACCCCTTAGATGCTAGTGAGGGTGTTGTCTCCACTTGGTTGACACGGCTCACGAGTTAGCATCTCAACAGGGTTCCAGACTGTCATAAATGGGAGGAAAAGGCACCCTCGAGGGAGACAGAAAATGGAGAAACCTTTAACTGGAATCCAGCCAAGAAGCCTCACCTCCCTGGAAGAAGAGGCGGATGACAGTAACAAAGTTCCAGGGAAACCCCAGGCTGTGGGGTAACTTGGTTCTGGCCTAGATGTGGTTAGCCCCCTCCCCCGTGGGATCTTTGATGCCAGGAAAGTGGCTCCAAGGCAGGAGTACTCCTCTGCACCCCGCACAGGTTGTCCTTGTGACGACTTTAGATGAGTAAGGTTATTTGCTGCTGTGCAGCTGGCCCATATGAAACGGTGTTGAACCTGCTTCAGGGGCCTCCCTGTACAGATGCCCAAAGACTGCAGGCTTCTTTTTGCAAGTGCTGATACCCGGGTGGGAGTGGCCCCCGCACCCAGGACAGAAAGCCTATGATCTGGGTTACTTTTCCCTCAGTGAGCCCTGTCTTGACAGGGACTGCACCCGACTTTCCTTTTCCTGGGTGGAGATAGTTTCCTCTCAGTCCTGGATGCCTCACTGACCGACCCCATGGCTGTGGTTCTTGCTGTCCGTGAACCCTGCTGATGTGCATTGTGGGCGTTTCCCTTGGTCCTTCCCTTGATCCTTCCTAGCTGCTGCCCCTGTTTCCCTCTCCCCTGCCTGTTTCCACTCTGCATCCTACAGTCCTGCCTCCAGAACCGTGGAGAGTCAGGAATCGTGATGGAGAGGAAGCTGAATTTGAAGTCTCACCCCGTGGCCCGCCTTGGCTCAGCGCTCAGGAGAAGCAGCACTTTGGTAGTCATCCCCTCTGGGGGGTGGGACAGTAGCCAGCAGGCCTGAGAAGATGACTGTTCGGAGAATAGGAAACGGCATGAGGGCCAAACTTGCATTCACACCTGTACCGTGTGAATTGCCTGCTCCCTGTAACACCAACACAACCACCCTTGAATTTCTTATACATGCTTGACAATGGATGACTTATAAAAGAGGCCGGGCATGGTCAGGAGTGCACACACGAGAGAGACCAGGCATGGTCAGGAGTGCACACACGAGAGAGGCCGGGTATGTCCAGGAGTACACACACGAGAGAGGCTGGGTGTGGGGCCATTCCACCTGTGTGCTGTGGGGTGCAAGAATGATGAAGGGAGAGAACAGGGTGTGCCCTTGAGAGAGGAAGCCAGGCAAGAGCCACACATGTCAGCCAACCGAGTGGCCTAGAGATCAGCTTTGCTCCTCCACCCAGTCCTGCGTCACAGTGGTGTCCCGGCCCACCGTCCCTCAGCTTCTTCACCCGCAAGAGGGCAGGGACACCACTCTGCAATCCCTGGGTGCTCCTGTGAGAACTGCCAGTGATCACCGAGGGGACTTGGGTGTAGAGGAAGAGAGGTGGCCAGCTCACTGGGTGTGTGCAGCAGGCAGCAGACCTCACCTGCATTCAAACATTTATAAGGTGACAGTGTTGTACTGCTGCAGGATAGAGGCCGCAGGCCTTCATTCCAGAAAGGAAGTGGTTCCTCTCTTCCCCTGGACCTGCCTCTTGGTTTTTGTTCATAGACAGTCATCAGCACCCGCTCTAGGATCCAAGGAATCTAGTCTGTAGGTTGGATCAGACTTCAGAGTCTGTTTCCAGTCCTAACAAGGACAGCCCCAGCCCCTCACCCCCCACCCATAAGCAGCACTGACACTCCTGTGTGGCTGGGGACACTCTTGTGTCCAGCATCAGCATGACAGCTGCGGAAGGGGGCTTGCTATTCACATCTGGTAACGGTGGGCTAGGAAATGCCTGCCCATAGGAGTGACGGGCAGGTCTGTGGCCCACAATCGCCTTAAATTAAGCCCATTCTTTTCTTTCCTTTCCACCCATGTTTGCTGTATTATGTGTGACCTTTAACCCTTGTGTTGATATGATCCTTAGATTGCTTTAGAAATGCTATCTAATGAATTGTTTGTATGACTCAGCCCCTAGGATTTGGTTGGGCTTAGTGGGTTTTTCTAAGAACATAAAAAAAAAAAAAATCTAGGCTAAGTTAGGCAAAACCATTCATTCCACACGCTCATCCCCAGGGTTTGCTGCCCAGATTATAATCTACTTTTCAATTGATAACAAAGATCTATTTTGAGTACACGATGGGGCATTTTAACTTTCACATACTGAAACTCGAGACAATGTACAGCTGTTTATATACCATGTATATTAAAATGACGTGAGATGGATTCAGAAGTGGGTAGAGAATAAATCTAACGTGTTTACCAATGCGTGTGTGGGAATGTGTGCGGGCAGTTCTCTGCTCTGTTGGTCTGAGGTGGTCTGTTAACCACCTGGCAGGTAGGAGGCGTGATGTGTGGTCTGAACAGGTCTGAGGACTCAGGCTTTACAGCAGGGTGGGACTGCTCTGGGAGCTGGGCAGCCTGCAGGCTCTGTAGCAGCCACCTTGCTGTGTGTGCCTGACAGTCACCTCAGAGTTCTGGGCTGCTGTAGACCCGGTGAGTGGCCACCAGGAGGCGCAGCAGCTGGACACATCACCTTGTCCCAACTTGGGATTGCTATCCTTTGTCAGTGGCTGCTTGAGAACAGCTGAGGAAATTCCCAGGAAGGGGTTTGATGCAGCCTCTTTGGACCAGCCTCCTAAGCCACTGGGAGTGTGTGTTGCCAGCATCTCTCCCTTGTCTGTCCTGAGTCCCGGCCACTGGAGAGGCCAAAGCCACTTTCCAAAACAGTCATTTGAGTTGCCGGATTTGAAGGTAGACAAGTCCTGTTGCTCAGGTGTGGAAGCTGAGGCCTGGCCTAGAAAGCTAGTCAGAGAATATTCCAGAGATCTGTCCCCCGGCCTGGAAGGGAGGACTGCCCCCATCTGGTAATGCTCACAAATAATAAATAATAAATAGCAGCCTTGGGCCATGAAGATGCCCCTTCCGTGCCAGGAGGACGGGGTGGAGGGAGAGTTTGGGCTGATGAGTCTCCACCTTTTCATTGAGTCCTACCCTTGCAGGGGCCCTGATGACAGCATGCTTGCACAGCACCAAGCCAGAGGAGGAAAGACTAAGAAGGGCTTGGCAGTCTCTGTGAACCAGGCCTCAGATGGACAGACGAAGCAGAGTCTGGAGACCCTCTGATCTGATGGGGAAGATACTTTACTTAAAGTCATAGGCACAACCCTTTAAAAAGATTGGCAGGTTTGGAGCTGGAGAGACACCTCAGCAGTTAAGGGCACTGGCTGCTCTTCCAGATGACCAGGGTTCAGTTTCCAGCACCCACATGGCGGCTCACAACTGCCTGTAACTCCAGCTCCAGGGGATCTGATGCCCTCTGGCCTCTGCAGGCACCAGACAGGCATGTGGCTCACAGACGTGCATGCTTGGAGAACTTGGAGAAACCCCCACAGATATAAAAATAAACAAGTAAAAATGTTTAAAAAGATTGACCAGTTTGATGACAGGAGATCCCGGGAAAAGTGGAGAGAATGGCAGGGTTTGGCTGCAGAGCTGGAAGTGTGAGGGTCAGCATAGGAGCAGTTTGTGTGGGTCGGCAGGAAACGGCAATCCCATTTTGTAGTGGCATCTTATTGAAGACTCAGTCTGAAAGGGTCACGAGTCAGCAATAGAAGAGATGACCGTTAGGACCATGGGCACACATTGAAACAATAGGAAGACACCACCTCGTGCCTGTGAACTTTGCAAAACAGGGTAGGGCCAGGGTGTGGCTGAGTCGGTGGAGAATAACTAGCACTTGTGAAGCTCCAGGTTTGATTCCCAACACCACATAAGCCAGGTATGGTGGCTCAAAACTTCAGTCCCAATGCTCAGAAAAAGGAGGCAGGAGGATCAGAAGTTCGTTCAGGTCATCCTTGGTATATAGGGGGCTCAAGTTCAGCCTTAGCCACGTGAGACCCGGAGTCAAAACAATGAAAAGAGTGTCCGTGGCTGCTTCTGGGACCAGGGAGGAGCCAAAGCAGAGGTGAGGGGCTGCAATGGTAGGGGTGTGTTTCTGGGCGCCAGTTGGGATGGGGAGAGTGGGGGAGAAAAGTGTGACATCTGGAAGGGAAAAGCAGTGGGCACCACT